AGTACATAAATCAGTTACGCAGCAAACCCTACCTCCATGCAACATCTCAATGGGTGCCGACAGTCGATTCCAAATTTCTCCTTGAAGCTATCATACCGTTTTAGAAGTCCATCTGTTGGTTAATGTAACGAAAAATTAATTAACTCTTTAAAAAATATCCTGGTTATGAACTATAAATTATTACAGTTTGGAATCAGATAAATCCATACGACATACAATATAGGCCGTAGCTGCCGGAGATTGCGTACTACATTTTGATTGGCAACTTTTTAACACAAGCGTCTCTAATATATAATGTACGTATACCGTTTGGAACCTTTCTTCAATCCACCTTTCCTGAAATTTTAAATTGCTACACAAACGTCCTCCTGGATATAATGATTACTGTAAGTGCTAAATACGTTTGTAGTTCGGTATAAAAAAAAAAGAAACTACACAAATGAAAATGAAAAGGTTGAACACTATATAAAAATGAATGTAGGAGTTTTGTTGTTCATCAGACAAATATATAAAAATTCAGACAAATATAAACACTATCATTGAACACTTTTGCAAAATTAGATCTTCTAGTTATCAACGAACAGTCATCAAGGCAGAGACACAGAAATTGTTGCTTACTTACTAAAGCCAATTTTCTATTACTCATACATATCATGTGGAGTTTTGGTTTTTCAAAAGTAAGCATAAACATTCAAGTCATTGATTTATGAAATGGAAGTACTGGGCATTTGTGTGGATATTGCAAAATACAGCTTGCAATGATGGGAAAGTCCGTTTTCACTTCCGATTCCCTCCTCCAGCAGTCCTGTTCTGGACAATATCGGTCCAAAGTTCTGCAGAATGTCTTCTTAGACTTTTCAATACCACCGAGGACACAGAGTCGGTTGTCACTGACAAACATGAAAAATAAATCCCGATTAAAGTTCTGACTAGAACATAATCTAGACCGACCGGTTTTGGGGTCGAAGCAGATCAAACTTCCACCCGGAGTGGCGATGTACACTTTATCGTTCAACAATACTGCTTGTCCACCAGAGAATGCAACTGGAAGGTCCTGCGAACCGTCCAAGACGTGTGTAGTCATATCCAACTTTCGTACGCTTGGCACGTCACAATCATCGTCATATTCATTTGAAGTTCTACCACCAAATATGTACAAACATTTATGATACTGAATAACCAATGGATTGGAAATGTTCTTCTCAAAATACCCGATTGTTGAATATATTTTTGTTCGTGTATTATACTTCACAATGGAAGAAATGCCGCCCCCTATAAGGTAAATATTTTCTTCAACAGATATCATAGTGTGATTAGATCGCGCACGAGGAAGTGGGGGGCACTTCTTCCATTTATTTTCGATGACATCATACTCCATCATCTCTCGGCCGGAGCGCCCTTTGCCGCCAGAAATGAAAATGTAAGGACAGTCATTTCGTATTTGGGAACAAACGGAGAAGCCGTGTCCAAACCTTGTCAACTTTTGTACGCTTTGCTTGTGGACTATTAATGTGCTAGCAAGTTCCACCACCATTACTGTCTGCTTTTCATTGACGTATTCATTCAGAAACAGAACACCCAACTGAACACTTTTACCACTTTTGCAAGCATTTCCGGTTGTGATTATATTTTTTCTTTCATATTTGTCCAAGTTGCGTTTACAATCGGCACAGCATTGAAGACTGTACAACTTATTTTCCGATTTGACATCGTTGTAGAAATTCATACAATGACGGAAGAGTTTATCATCGACACTGAATGTCCGCATTGAACATAGATGAAAAAATGAATGAAAATTAAGTTCGTTCAGTTGCAGACAAGCGGGGCACCCATCGGAAAGAAACTTCGCCAGTTTTTTGCGTTCTTCATCTGGCAGATTTTGGACGTAAAGACGCTCCTTCACAATTGGGTCATCAGGGTTCGGAAAACACATGTACTGTGAACAAGAGAGCGTTTCCTTTTCTCTAAGCATCTCACAAGTTTGATTTACATAATACAGCAGAATGTCAACTCACTTCAGTCTGTCCATTGTAACATTTTGAAAAATAGAATCTTTAAGTCGCACATGAATAACCTTACTGGCCAGAATGTACTAGGAAGAATCAACCTGAAAAAAAAACGGAAACAAAAAAGATCAGCTAAGAATAAGGAAATTAAAATAATCTTGTATATAGATACTGTTTTCATGAAGTATTTATGTATTTTGTTGTCTTAATATAAACTAATAATAATAATAATAATAATAATAATAATAATAATAATAATAATAATAATAATAATAATAATAATTAAAACCTATTATTAGTAGTAATATATGTAGCTTATAGGAGGACAACAACATACATTACTACTACTACTACTACTACTACTACTACTACTACTACTACTACTACTACTAATAATAATAATAATAATAATAATAATAATAATAATAATAATAATAATAATAATAATAATAATAATTATTATTATTATTATTATTATTATTATTATTATTATTATTATTATTATTATTATTATTATTATTATTATTATTGAGAAAACAAGGCGAAACAGGAGTTCCAAGTATATTAAGGCATTATCATTAAATCAATGTTTTACTTGAATCCAGTAACTGATGAAGAAGATGTGTGACTGCGAAAACCTTGCGCAACTGAAATACAAATATGACTAAATTATTATTCTTTTTTGCTTACAACTATACTATAAGCGGCGTCTCGCCAATAAATGAAAAGTCTAAGATATTCATCGGGTTAAACATGTCAGCCTTTGTCATAAAAGAGCTATTTAAACCATAAATAGAAGCGGGTCGCTAGTTCTTTAAATGCTGAGGAACTGATCATTATCTATTTCAGCTGCGCAAGTGAGAAAAAAAATTAATATCTATCACCAAGTGTTGTATTGGAAATAAAACTTAATTGCTAAGAAAACAGAAAATGATTTACCTGCAAGCTGACCGAAATCTCCAACATATGTAATTATCAAAGAAGACCCGGTTAAAAAGTTCACTTATTTGTGCATTTTATGCACACATACTCACATTAATATACACACATATATTAATATACACACTCCAGTCGGTACATTCATGACACGCCAGTACGTTATCAGACAAAACACAGATCGATCAATATATATATATTATATATATATATATATATATATATATATATATATATATATATATATATATATATATATATATATATATATATATATATATAATGGTGATCATTTCTTCTAAGCTGCTATTGTTCCTTGTATTTTGCTAAAAGCACGTAAAATTATGTAGAACAATGTCGAAAATTGAATTAGCAATCCCAGTTGTAAAATGAATTATATTCAACGTGTTTAAAATGTACATTCATAAACTCCAATTTTTCTTTCTATGTTTTTCTTTTTTATTCTTTTTCTTTTCCTTGTCCTTTCCATTTCTATTTTTTTATGCTGTTGAAATGATTAAAACAATTATTGTAAAACTCTGTGATTACAGCGCAAATAAAAAACAGAATTACACAACAATAATGTAAGCAATATGCCCATATGTCAAATAACTAACAATGAATGCATTACCTAAGTTACCGGTATTGAAGGTTGCCTGCTTTTACGAAAGAACATTTCGTTTTAAAACTAACATCAATAAAAACAATAATATACTCACCGATGCACAAAAAACAAAGCCCAAAAGATTAATCGCAGTTCCACTGTGTGAAAAATAAATGCATAAATGGGATGTTAAGAGTCTTCCGTTTTAAATCACAACATAACCACGTGACTGGGAACCCCAACTTTTTTTTCTATTTTCTGAGTGGAAAATTACAGAAGTGTGCGTTGTGACTCAGTTCTGTTTATAAATATATTATCACTGTTTTGATTATATAATGCTCTAGCTTTTCCTGCGTTTACCGAAACAGCATTCGTACTGCGATAAATGCCTCTAGCCTTACAAGTCGAGCTTTCTTTCAGTTGATGTGACCGGTTTGTTTGCAAATGACTCCAAAGCATTGAAATGATATGTAGTGTATGGATTGGGGCCATACTAATATAGTGTAGGTAGTTACAACTCCAAAAGCTTTTAAAATTACGAAACAATAGCTAATAGATACTATCTTTGGAAACAAAACCGTATTAAGGTAGTAGGAAACCATGGATAAGTTTTCTATAAAGCACACCCCCTCCTCCTCTGCTTTCCTCCCTTCCCCCAATATATATTAGTTACTATTCACTGCGCTGCCTAGGTCCGAGCGAAACGGCTCCATTTTTAATGTTTTAGGACTAATATTTGCAATTGTTCCATCGGCAATACTTGTATATGTACGCGCACAGGCACTTACCTATCAGGCAACACAGCTAATATAGAAAAGGCTTGAACGAATAAATATTAAATACCAATTAATGTAATAATTATTTATTAAAAGAGTACAATAGGCGCTTATATGTGTCATATATGTGTCACTAGAGAGGTTCACTTGGAATGGTTTAATAATAATAATAATAATAATAATAATAATAATAATAATAATAATAATAATAATAATAATAATAATAATAATAATAATTAATAATAATAATATAACAATCCTCTCTCAATCAGTGACACTGTAGTTCAGTTTTCAAGCACACCAAATATCACCTACGAATAATGTGACTTTTGACACCGATCCCTCATGCCTCAAATCTTCTCATGAGAATAAAGACAAGATACAAATCTTCCGTTTTCATTAATCACTCTCGTAAAATATCAGACGAAATGGTCTCCCGAATCAGTTTAAAGGTAGCTTATGCTACCAGAAAATCAACTGAATTATGTCAATACAGACGGTAATTTGAACACACGGACGAACATGCGCGATCATATAATAACAGCTTAAGTACAGATAATAAGATGATGATGTTGATGATAGTGGTGGGAGATATGGACAAGTGTTATGTTATAAATATTTTGTTGGGATAGTTGTTGCCGATGATGATGAGTATAATGATGCTATTTCAGAGATGACGGCTCCGGTGGCCTAATGGTTAGATCGTCCGCCTCGGATGCGGGAGGTTGCGGGTTCGATCCCCGGCCGAGTCATACCAAAGACTTATACAAATGGTACTAACAGCTGCCTCGATTGGCGCTCAGCATTACGAGGTTAGTGCTAGGACTGGTCGGCCTGGTCTCAGGATAATGTGACTGGGTGGAACATCATGCTACATGTCTGCGGCATGATGCCCCAGTTCTAGACATCACTATAAACTGCCACACTGCAGACATCGTAGCGATATATGACTGAAAAATTGTTAAAGCTACGTTAAAAATCCAAATCAGACAGACAGTCAGTGATGACGACTACGATAAAGAAGGCAATCGGTAGTGTTGAAGATGGCGATGGTGTCCTTGATATAGATTTTGAATATAAATTTAAATGCAATTTTTTTCCATACGCGCTTACTTTTTATTATATCCTGTTTCAACAAAAACAAAATGACAATGTTATATTATATATATGATCTTTATTACATATGTATTTTAGCATCTGTAAATAGAAAATTAAACGAATGAAATAAATTTTACTTTCATAGAAACACGTCACTGTAAATCTGAAGGTTATTTCCCTCGACATTACCTATGAAATAAAAATAGGCCATGGCAGTGGGTCATGCGAATGTTTGTTTATTTATAGTGGTGCCTCATTTCACCGCCTATAACGAGAGTGAAGGTTTGCCGTGTGAATCCAGCTCAAGATAGGCCTTGTGAGATTATATTGGGTTGTTTATTACATGTTTGTTTCGCGTTTTATCCCGTGATCTTGTCGAATTAGTCTGACCTAGCAAACATGTAAGCAGGGAGGCGTATTACAGTTTTGTTCAAATCCTGAAATTATGACATCTAACGTTCCTTCTGTTGTAATCTACTCGAGACTCTTCTGATATAAAACTTTCCTCCACTTCAAATCGAACTCGAGACTATTCTAACAAAAAATTTTCCTCCACTCCAAATCGAACTCGAGAATATTCTGATCTATAACTTCCCTCCACTCCAAATCGAACTGGATACTATTCTGACACATAACATTCCTCCACTCCAAATCGAACTCGATACTATTCTGACACATAACATTCCTCTACTCCAAATCGAACTCGATACTATTCTGACACATAACAATCCTCCACTCCAAATCGAACTCGATACTATTCTGACACATAACATTCATCCACTCCAAATCGAACTCGATACTATTCTGACAAAAATTTCCTCCACCCCAAATCGAACTCGAGAATATTCTGATCTATAACTTCCCTCCACTCCAAATTGAACTTGATACTATTCTGACACATAACATTCCTCCACTCCAAATCGAACTCGATACTATTCTGACATATAACATTCCTCCACTCCAAATCGAACTCGAGACTATACTGATCAACCAAAGACTGCATATTCAACTGAAGACTCGGATATTTAGATCCGGCATAAAATATAACAAATGAAATTTTGATTTGACTTTCATGGCAGATGGGCCATGATTTAACGATAAATAATGTCCTCGACAAACGTAACTGTGTCAGTGTAACTTGAATTAAATATGTTTTGGCTGCAAAATATCCATCAATATCACAATTTTACTTGTGCCACTCTTCCTTGAAAATCTCCATTACACATTATATACTAACGGTTGTAAACGGCGAAAATAAATGAGTGGTAAATGATATGACGACGAGACCAATAAACAACAATAAACAATATCAAAAACCGACAAATATGGTAGAGCTAAAAACTCCATAGAGATTTTTCAAACAAACAGCTGCATTTTCCAAGGACGTCGCGGTCTGTACCGCCATGGTTGTATTCAATTTTGCACGATAAGTTTATACATTCCATCGTGTAGAAAAGTATCCACGTTTAAGGTAGAGCGAACTGAAACCATCAGCAAACATGTACACGCAACTCTGCAGAGCTCGAAGTAGTAGTTTTGAATTGTTTAAAGGTAGGCTCATTTTCCCTTAACTACCACTTTGTGTAGGAATAGCCATACTAAAAGAAATTCGGTGATAATCCCGGAATTGTCTAGTTAAAGGTAGACCACTGTGCTTCTTTCTGGAATATATCATGGATCGTCGACCCTTCCCTGCAGATGACGAGGATGTCTGGTACTGAGGACTGATAATGCTCAGCTTTCTGCATTTATTCTGTTTCTTCATTGGTTTCGTAAGATGCACACTGTTCTTTATGCCGTCTTATGTTATGTAATTGTGCCTGACAAGAACCAACTCTTTGCCTAATATTTATTTATGTTTTAGAAACTCTGTTTCACCGCTTTAACACACAACTTAACAAAGCCGGAGTGGAAAGCCGGAAAAAGATTTAAGATATACTTTACAAATTTCCAATTTTTAAGTGTAATTTACACAAAGATTTATGACGGACGTGTAGCCACTGAGTACTATACTAGTTGTTTTAGAAAATCTGCTACATTAAAATAAAAATATAAATAATTATTGTATTCCTTCATAATCACAAAGAAATCGCCTAATTTATTTGACTCGAAAAAGACGATGTAACTAGTAGTATGCGACAATCTGGCCTCTAATGGAAACTAACTTTATACCTCCATTTTGAAAAAGAAAATGCAAGAGACGGGAGCGATGTGACCAATAACTGAAATTTAACATTACGCTTCCATGCTAAAGAATTTGTGTTCATATGGCCTGGAACTTGAATTTGACATAAAGTCCTTATGTTGAAAAATTTGTACGTATATTAAATTAAATGGCAATTTAATGGTATGCGTCCATTTTGAACAATTTGTGTGGAGAGGAGTAGGCAAACATTTTAAATATGTGATCTACGAACATCATACTTGTTGAGTATTATCCAACACCCACTTTTACTACCATCCAATACCCATTTTTATTACTATTTGATTCCTCACGTTTTGATTACCATCGAACATCCACTTTTTAATTAATATCCAAATCACAAAAGCCCATACACCTATTATACTATTTCTCACAAAAGGAGTTTGAAGCTTTAACTGTTTGTGAGCAGACATAGACATACACAAACATAAAACACACAGTGTCAATGATTTGAGTCGTATTTCTCTTTTCGACGAGATCTGGGTGGCCCTAACAAAAAGGGCCGCTGAATGTTGTCTGGGTCATTATTGACCTATTTCCATGACATCTGCACCTCCCGGGCCCAGCTGTTCATAGAGAGAGAAACTGATTCTGAACTTAAACTCGCCAGCCTCCATCTCCCAATTCTCTTCAGGAATCAAATGTAATTGCTATTATTGTTGCTGATACTGATACTGCTCTGCTTTCTTCCGGCACAAACCTCTCTTGTACCCTAGTAGGATTTTGAACGATGCGTTCGAATTCCCTCTTTCTTCTTTATAATTTCTCCACCCTCTTTTCTTCGACTCATGACCTCTTTATGTTTTTCACTTCCTTCTCCAAGATGAACGCCTTGGCTGTTTTTAGTGATGTAATCTCCCTCTTCAAAAGCCTCTTCTTGGCAGTTTCCTCTACCCGACCTAGGTGGTACTTAATTCTGTCCATTAATCTGTATCTCTGAACTTTCTCATCCTGCAGTGCTGACTAGCTATTCTTCTTTATCGATGGCTAGTCGATAATGATTGCCAAATCTGACTGTCCGATTGATTGACTTGGATTCAAGTCGTGTGCAACCATTAGGCCATGTGCAACCGGTTTATGTATACACTGCTTACTACTTATTCTCTCATGGATGAGCAACTTTTAAGTGCGCTTTCGACATTTTAATGTTTGCACAGCATACTTGTTAATTTGCAATTTCGAAAGCGGCAGAGGATGAGAAAGGGCGTAAAGGCCTGTGTTTTGATTGCACTGGATGGCTCCTCTTGATCCAGTTTTGAGTCTTTTGCAAAAATGAATATTGTTGTATTACACCTGGTCGTTGAATTTTGAAACTACAAACCCTGTACTTTTGGCGGTAACGTTAGTGTGGTAATGGTATAGCAGAAGGGGTCATAGTGTGTATCGTATAAAGTCCAGGATTAAAAGCATATTTTTCTTAACTTTTACAAGCACTGTACCTTTGTATCGTAGACCTGGTGGTTTGGGTTTATGACCACTCTTTGTTGTGTAATCTCTCTCTCTCTCTCTCTCTCTCTCTCTCTCTCTCTCTCTCTCTCTCTCTCTCTCTCTCTCTCTCTCTCTCTCTCTCTCTCTCTCTCTCTCTCTCTCTCTCTCTCTCTCTCTCTCTCTCTCTCTCTCTCTCTCTCTCTCTCTCTCTCTCTCTCTCTCTCTCTCTCTCTCTCTCTCTCTACAAGAGTCCGCAGAACCTCTCTGAAACAGCATAGATGTACTATCAATCAAATTCTGTCCCTTTTCTAATTCGAACTATTCCCAATAACCAACTTTGCGTAAGCCACATTTTGTAATTAGGATTATGCTGACTAGTTATGCATTTTCATCCTCTACGATGTTTTTGAATTTTTATGCAGTGTACATATATTTTTTGAAATGACAATAAATCAATATTGGATCTATGTGACCTACACAAATAATGTAGCCTTAATTATGTAATATACAAGTCTTTTTTAATAGTGAACGGATGAGTCATATTTTAAAAGTTTTATCGAAATGGGTTTTCAAGACAAACTAAAAAAAACAACAGGTAATTGAGAAAAATCGTTTTCGCCTCTGAAGGCGGGAACAGGAACGGTCTCAAGTTTTTGGGCGGCATAAACTTATGTCTGGTCCTCCCCAAGTAGCTGTTTGGAGTGATCAGGTCAATAACTACTAAGTCATTCATCGTCGGCCAAAACGGTTTGGTTTGGGCCGGGATCATGTGTGATTCGTTGAACCCAAACGTAATTAGTGTCATGAGTGGTACTGTACACCCTCAATAGTTTTCTTCCAGTGTACTGATATTCCTCGCTACCTAGAAGAAGTTTGATTTCGTTTCCTTGCCGAGATTTCCAACATTTTTAAGTCACTTGGAGACTACAATGACCATCCTAAAGTCCTCTGCATGTTGGCTGCTACTAGATCTTTAATTAGATCTCCCATTCCTCATTCCGCAACTTGGTCAATGAAGTACAC